TTGAAATGTTGAAGAGTACATCGAGTGAAAAATGTGGTTTATTAAGAGATTTAACAAGATTCCCTCTCTATGTACTTGAAGTTTTTGAATCCTTTCCATTTTTTTTATATAGCCTTAAACCTAAGCCACGTTACAACTTTTTGTGTTGATCGTTCTAATCTTAAGTAAGCATTTGGGAAAGCGTGGTGGAAGTCTCATTTGTTAGTATTCCTATCATAAGATCAATGTTTGCTTGTTGCTTGTACAAAATTGTCTAATTCCCCATGAGAGTGTGTGCACATCCATTGTCAACTCCATATAAAGAATCTCCACACGAAATACTTTTATACCCGTGAGTTATGGAGTTGAACCTTTTGCTTGAGATGCTCTTGATGTTGCATGTGTCAGGGTTTCTTGTTAGATGGATATAGTTTGGAACACACACACACTTTTTTGGATTGTTTCAGGTGGATTGCTTGTGATGGGGTTATTGAATTCCTAAGACTGTTCTGATATATGAATCTGAAAAGTGTGACTCGATGGCCTTTGTGTGTGATTTTCTTTGGTTTCTTTCATTGTTTCGGCATAAAAATTGTTAAGGACTCGCAATGAGTAAGTTGGGGGTGTGATGAGTGCGCAAAAGTGCAGTCTAAATACCAAATTATTGGATTAAAATGTTAAAATATGAATAGAAATAATTATATATAATTTATATTATTTAATTTAATATCTATTTATACTGAGATATATTTGAACATTATTTTATAATATTTCAAATTTTAAATATTGTATTATTAGTTGGTGAGAGGTAATTTACAAATGGGTTTTACAATTAACATTTTTGAAACTTTATTATTCGACTTTTATATTTGTTTTTATTTTGATGGCAACCCATGAAGAAAAAAGACTAAAACTAATCAGTTGTCGTGATGGACCCAATACTCAGCAGATTTGGGATTTATTCTTTTCAATATGCATATGGATTTGGACTTTAAGGGCTAAAATAGAAAAATTAAAATAACGAGGGACTGAAATAAAAAAGCTAGAATAAAGAGAGGAAAAGGTTATTTTCAATAAAGAGTTCGACTCTAATGCTATTTCTTTTTCTTTTGGTGTGTAGCGGCTGTGCCTTTACTTTTTTTATTGGCGTGTGGCGGCTGGAAAAAAAGAAAAGGAGAAGGCGGCTGGTTCTGGGCAGAAGACGGACGCAGATCAGAGAACAGAAAAAATTGCTGATGACCGTCGGTTTGTTTTATTTTTTCTGGGCGGTTTTTGTTTTCTGGGTGGTTTTTGTTGTCCATCGTATTTATGGGTAATTAAATTAATTAAATTCTGAAGTAAGGTGAGGGATGAACTTGCACAATAGATGATATTTTATTTATTTTTAATTTATACATTTAATTTCTAATTAATATAATTTTTTTGTTTTATCATTTTTAATTTATTGTTGATGTTTTCTTCTCCGAAATAATCATAAAATTTATTCTGGCTTTGGATTTAGTCATGTTTTTTCTATTGAATGAATTAGCTATTTGATTATGTTGGGATCAATTATTCATCTATATTGATTTAATTCTTTGCTACAATATCGTTTGTTGAGTATATTGTCGTCGTTGAATTTTCTCAATAGTGATAATAATTTACGTATTTTAAAAGTGATGAATGATTTTTCAAAAGGTTATGTTTGGTTTAATCTTGGTTTATATATCTATATATTACGGTTGAAAATTTTAAAAATTAAATTCTCAATTGAGTTATTTAATGAATAAAGAAAATTTAAATTTCAGATTTGTACAAGGGATTTTCGACACTTTATTGTTTGTTAAATTTGAATATTTTTTCCGTTAGTCCATTTCCTTCACTTTAAGTTATTTAAAATTAATCTTTGTTCTTTAGTAATCATTTAATATATTTCTTTAGTTCTTTTGTTTCTTCTATTATTTTTTTAATTTATCTCTCTGTGGAATCGACACCCCAAAATTATACTATAACTGCCACGTTATTCTTTGAGTGTAATTATGACTATCTTATGGTATAATGGATATTTGAGAGAGCATATCTTCCAAATAATCATAATTTCTCTTTTTCTTTACTTTTTTTTGTTGGCCAATCAGTATGGCAAAGTGTACAAGAGAGAGAGAGAGAGAGCTGGCTTGGCTGGTGGGTTGTGTTCATGTGCATGTGGATTTGATGGTGGTTGCTGGTGATGGCGGAGCACATATCTAAACCAAACACAAATGGACCATTTATTTATTTTGTTACAAAGTGTCTAGGTTTGCGTCAATTACTCTTTCGAATTCAATGGTTAACCACCGTGTATCCCTAAAGGGATAAGAGTGGCTAACACTTAGGAGTGTGTGGAAAGGGATTGAACTTAAGACTTCTAAAAACTCAAATAGTAGACTCAACCACTGAACCACTCTTAAGGAATACAAATAGACCATTTGTATATTCACTACTTATGTTAAACCTTTATTTAATTTTTCAAAATAGAAATCAGTAGTAATTAGGAAACTATAACTTCAGTTTTAGTCTCTCGCAGCAATGAACTACTTTTGTTAATGCTAATCACTCTCTTAATTAGAAGTAATTTCAAAACAACCCTTTGTTCTTGTGATCACTAGTCTCATGAAGACAGATTTTGTACTGGACCACTTTTGTTGTTCAATGTGAACTCTTATCATTCCAAACGAACTTATTTCCTGGTACAAGAGTGAACACAGAATTAAGGTTAAAAGAAGTCATGGCACCGTGGAAGAGGCTCTCGTGAGATTTGAGAATTGTGAAATGTACACACTTGGAGTCCTTACATGGCAAAATTTTCTCAAAAATATTTCCACGGCCAGAACTTCAAAATGTTCATATGTCAAAGTTAGAAGCATTCCCACTTTAACCTTTGAAGTTCAATGGTCAGTTTCTTATTTTTTTTTTCAACATTCCGACAAGAAGTTATAGTTTTCTTAAAAAACTTTTAGTTTTGTCGTGGTGTAGACATGTTGACATAGTTCTTAATAACTCATCACTTTTTGAATTTTTATCATCAAAATTTTGAAAAACGATTGTCACAGTGCATAAAACACCGTTAATTCTGATATTTGGGATTCAAATATTTTAGGAATCTTATATTTATTGTTTAATGATTGTCAATAATCCAAGGGGGCAGAGAAAAAAAGACAAAGAAAAGAAACCACCCAAAGAACTTCAAAAATAATCCTATTTTCCCTAAAAAAATTAAAAGAAAAATATCATGAAATTAGTCTTCAAAAGTCTGATTGGCCGTGGCCTGCACAGCGAAGTGGCCTTTTATTCTGTGGTGTTGGTGCAAAGACCCTAGTACACATGATAGAGACAGTGATGATGACCATGAGGGGTCTAATCTAACACAAGTAATGACCTTCTATACAGTCGTGATTGGCTCTATCTAAGATGTGAAATGTTTCCTAATGGAAAAACCAAATTTTCCATGGAATTTAAGATATTGTATGATGCGTTGATTTCTTCTTGCTCTTGAAGCCAAACAAACTTCTAAAAAATTGATATTTTGGCTCGGATAATGTTACATGGACGTAATTTAGAGATATAATACGTTATAATTACTTAAATTAACAGCGGAGCTTAATAATGAATGGAATCGACTCCTAATTTAGTAATAACAATGAATTAAATCTCTAGATAATTAATTCCCAAAAATTAGATAAAAATTATATTATTGTTATCTTAGATTACTCCCAAGTCAATAACTGTCAACGTTAATGTCCTGTTTCATTGAATCTTACTTAGATTTTGTAGCCATTCTCTTTCTTTGACTTGGTATTAGTCCTCTCTTAACTTCCAGGGACCAGCAATTCCACCGTGATTTGAAAGTTGAAGACTAGGTGAAGATTTGAGAATAATTATCTTGACAGTAATCTAAGATTAGCACTTGTTCATAATCACCCTTCACATTCATGTAAAATGTATGTGAATTCTCTAAGATTAAGGTTTTTTACATACATTTATAAATATCGATCAAATACCTGAAAATAGAGAAATATATTATACGAATGAATACCGGTATGTAAGGATGACTCGACTATATGTCTAATAACACTTTCACTTAACATCTGTCAAAATGATAAGCGACTCGTCTGGTCTAATTCGAGTGACTTGAGGAGAACAAGAGTGAAGGACAAGTAATGGGATTTCAACAGAATCTAATGTTACCATGTGAAACCAAACAAAACTCCAGCTTCAAATTCCTTCTAAAACCAATCAAATTCATGAAATCAAACACAAATCCACATATAATTTTCTTCTGAAACCAATCAAACCCACCTTCAAATTCTAGCTAAATATATGTTTATGGAGAGAGATAAACAATGATGCATGACCTACGGTTAGAAACTTACCTTAATATTTTTTTGATTGTGTCACTTAGCAAGATCTATGTAAGCTGTTGAGGGCTGTTGAATTTCGTAGCTTCCATGGTGGTGACGGACGGACGGAATAAATTTGCGATGAAGGAGACTACGATTTTGGTGGGTACGAACGAACAGACACAGGCGACAGAGAGAAGAAGAGGGTTATATTTTTGGTTCAAAATTTGAGGAAAAAGTTCGGCATTCCGTTAATTTGAGTCAAAGGTTAAAGATGATTTTTAAGTTTTTTTTACCAAAATTTAAATTTGAATTTACTTTTGGATAAGAAGTGAAGGTGGACTAACAATGGAAATTGCCCTTTGTTTCATTTGGATGTGGCAATTAATGTCATTACCTACCTTTGTTGCTCAACTTAAATGGGTGGAAAGGAGTTAAGATTGATGTGAAATGTGAACTGTAGTGTCCTTGCACAAAAGCTTCATCAATAGACACTACATGATTGGAATCAAAGTCAAGTAATTGAAGATTTGCCATTTTCAAAACAGTGACACAAGGATACATTATAAAGGATCCAGCCTAGGAACATTTTTATTCATTACAATTCACAACTAGTGCAATACTTTTGTCATCCTGCAAATTTTCACTGCAAATTTGGAGATAAAAATGTGGTACCTACTGTTCTTGATCATTGTAATACTCTCAGCATCACAACAATCTCTTGTTTTGTCTTCTTCACCGTCGCCAAAGAGCCCACATCGATGCCTCAGCCACCAGAGGTCCGCCTTGGTGCAACTGCAGCAAGATGTTCTAAAGCACTACAATCCTTCTGTTATATTTGATGATAACTCTTCAATGAAAGTTCAGCAATGGAAGCTGGAAAGAGATTGTTGTTCATGGGAAGGTGTCACCTGCGATGTCGCTGGTTATGTCACTGGCCTCAACCTCAATTATAGCATGATTTCCGGTCATATCAGTGCCATATTTGATCTCCACCATCTCCAATATCTTAGCCTTGCTAGCAACAACTTCCGGTTAAACCCAATACCATCTGGGTTTGATAGGCTTAAGAGTTTGACCCATCTAAATCTTTCATATTCCTGCTTCTCCGATCAAATTCCCATGGAGATTTCCCGGTTGACAAGGTTAATATCTCTTGATCTATCCACTATTCCATTTTGTGAACTCCCAAACACCTTTAATGACCCAGACTTCAATCGCATATTTGAATATGAAGAGCTCCACAGGCTCAGACTAGAAGAACCCAACCTCCAGACATTTTTCCAGAACCTGAATGCTCTCAGAGAGCTCAAATTAGATTATGTAGACCTCTCAGCTCAAGGTTCTAACTGGTCTGATGCCTTAGCTCATGCACTTCCTAACCTTCAGGTTTTGAGTTTGTCTTTCTGTCGTCTCTCAGGACCTATCCATCCTTCCTTCTCACAGCTCAAATCTCTATCCCACATCGGCCTTGATGGTAATCATCTCTCTTCTGCGGTACCCCATTTTTTGGCGGATTTCTCAAATTTGGTAACTCTCAGTCTCAGATCTTGTGGTTTGCATGGGAGTTTTCCTGAAAAATTGTTCACACTGCCAAAATTACAAACCATTGATCTTTCGGACAATTCACTCCTCACTGGTCAGTTGCCAAATTTTTCATTGAATAATTCTTTTCAGCAGATGATACTGTACAAGACAAATTTCCATGGGAAATTGCCAGACTCCATTGGTAATCTCAAGTTCTTGACAACTTTACTCCTCTATAATTGTAATTTCACTGGGTGGATCCCATCATCACTTGCCAACCTGACTCAAGTTCTTGAATTGGATCTCAGTTACAATAGATTCAGTGGTCCAATACCTCCATTTCATTCTAGCACTGTTCCAAAGCTTGTAGACCTTGGCTTGTCTTACAATCTCCTAGATGGTGCGATAGATTCTTTGCTGTTTACTCTCCCATCGCTGCAAAACTTACGTATGAACAATAATCATTTCACTGGTCAACTTGAGGAGATCCCAAATGCATCTTCTTCAGTGTTGGAATATGTTTATTTGCAGGGAAATGGTTTGAGCGGGCCAATACCTAGGTCAATCTCCAAACTCCCAAGACTCTTTTTTCTCTCCCTTGCTGCCAACAACTTTAATGGCAGCATGAAGCTTGACATCTTCCAGAGTCTCCAGAACTTAACCAGTCTCGATCTTTCAGACAACAATTTGGCAATTGAAAGTGACGACAATGAGGGGTTTACATTTCCCAGTCTCGAAGAATTAAGATTGAGCAGCTGCAACTTAAACAAAATCCCCAAGTTCCTCAAGAATGAAGTTGTATTGAGGTCTCTGAACCTTTCCAACAACCACATCCATGGAAGCGTCCCCAGTTGGTTATTGAACAGCAGCACTCTTTATGAGTTGGACCTTTCTCATAATGAAGTTGATTTCTCTGATTCAAACCAGGGCAAGTCTGTCTTTAGTGGTGACGAATTTACTTCATTTGCAGTGCTAGGCAAATTGGCTATGCGCTCCTGCAACGTAAGTAGATTTCCAGATTTCCTGAAAGCCCAAGATGGGCTGTTTTACCTCGATCTTTCAGGCAACAAAATAGATGGTCGTACGCCCAGTTGGATATGGAAGAAGAAGCTTCAGTATCTGAATATTTCTCACAATTTCTTATATGCTTTGGATGAATTTCTTCCTAATATGTCTACCCCGTTGCAAACTCTTGATCTTCGTGCCAACCTGCTTCAAGGATCTCTCCCTAAGGCAATATGCAATTTGAGCAGTCTGTCTATATTTGATGCTTCTGATAACAAACTAAGTGGCTTGATCCCGGAATGTCTCGGAAAAATTGGCACTCTTTCTGTTTTGAACGTCAAAGGGAACAACTATCGGCGTTTCCCTCCAGATTTTGGTCTAGCAAGCAGTCTTCGGTCACTGAATATCAATGGCAATCAATTGGAAGGAGAGTTGCCAAGGTCTTTAGCCAAGTGCACAATGCTAGAGGTTTGGACCTTGGTAACAACAACATTTCCGATACATTTCCGTTTTGGTTGGATAAACTGCCTGAATTGAAAGTGCTTGTCTTGCGAGCCAACAGATTCTATGGTCAAATTGATCATCATGGGGGTAAATTTGTTCTCCCCAACTTGGGAATAATGGATCTATCTTCTAATGAATTTACAGGTGTGCTGTCCAATGAATTCTTCCAAAGCCTGAAGGCCATGGCAATGATCGGTGAAAATAAATCAGAGCCAAAATATATCGGAGACTATGAATATTATCAAGATTCAGTGACAATTATGAACAAAGGGAACGAGATGGTACTAGTAAAGATCCTAAAAATATTTGTTTCTCTTGATCTCTCAAACAATAAGTTCCATGGTGACATCCCAGAAAAGATAAGGGATCTCAAATCGCTTGTTGTGCTGAACTTGTCTCGAAATGCTTTTAATGGACCCATTCCATCATCTCTAGGGGAGTTAGCTGAGCTTGAGTCATTAGACCTGTCACGAAATAACCTTTCTGGGATGATTCCTCAACAACTTATCAGCCTTACATTCCTGGCAGCGTTGGACCTCTCTCATAACCAACTCTCGGGACACATTCCCCAAGGCAACCAATTCAATACATTCTTAAATGCTTCTTACGAAGGAAACATGGGATTATGTGGATTGCCATTGTCGAAGAAATGCAAAGTAACTGATGATACAGTACCATCAACGGATCAAGGTGAGAATTCAGAGACAGTGAGCGTGTTTGATTTGAAAATTATGACAATGGGATATGGCTGTGGAATAGTAATTGGATTTTCAGTTGGATATACATTTTGGTCCAAGATAGAAGATATCTGGTACACGAATTTTGGAGGGCGGGCCAAAAAGCATGGAAGAAGATCAAGAAATGGCCGCAGGAATCTATCAGGAAGATGAAGATAACAGTGAGTAGTAACTAAATGTTTGTTAGGTACAATCAATCAGATTGTGTTGATTATTCATATAAGCTAGTATAAGAGTCATCAATCGGATGGTTCATGCCATCATGATCGAAAAGAAGTGTGAGGGGGTGAACTAACTAGCCTAGTCTCACACCATATAGATCGGTCTAAGATATAAAATTAGTGTGCGACTTTCAGAAGGCATAAAAAGCATTGCTCACGAGCATTGTAATAGAAATAAATGAGAATTCAAAATGGTTCCAAAATCACATCAAAAACATTTTAAATACTTCATATTCCAAGAATCCTAAACAAACCATCGGCTGCTAGGCCAAGGCGTACATCTCGGGAATAATGAGCAAACCACTCATGTTTATTGTCGAATCTTACCCAAGCTTGGGAGTATGCTATGGGCTTCATTACATTCCCTTCTCCACTACGTTTCTTCTTGTGTCACCTCATATCTTTAGCCATCTTGCTCGACATAATTAACCTCTGCAATCTCAGTTTCAGAGGGAAGTTCCGCAACACCTTTGTGGAATATTTTTACAATTGCCATGTTTCATACCTTCACCTTAACTAGCCATATTCAGGACACTCTTCTGCACCTTCACATTTATTCCAGAACAGTATATAATAAATTCCCTATTGCAATGTTGCATGTATGCAAAAGTAACTAAAGTCAAAGTCTCGCATTAAGTTTTTTCCCTCGTTAGAGAACTCAAGCAATACCTCCCCAATTGGCAGTGCTGCCTTGAACAACTCAGGTAATATCTCCATTGATTTGGTAATTATTACTCCAACAATTTAGCGTCTTCAGACGTAGCAATTTTTCCAAAAAATTCAACTTAGAGAAGTTGTCAAAACTTGGATAAAGTGGATATTGTGCATCTTTCAACAATTTGTCAAATTTTTCACATCACCCAACTAAGGATTGTGGTTGCTTTATGGCACTCCAACAAACGATATCTGAACATGTTCCCATAGACACATCCTCTATAACTTCTTGACCCTCATCAATATCATCATCCTTGTCATCCAACTAAACTGCATCACAATCTAGAATCTGCACGAGTGACATTACTCAGTTGGAAATCTTCTTTGTGATGTACACATTGAGTGCAATTTTGATCTATCCAATTATGACCAAATCATCATCTATCTTGTCTGCGGTCTTATTAAAAAAAATTGTTGCACTTACCACATGTACACCAAATCCAAAGAACTCTATCTCTCGAGAGACAATATTCATAAACTTTTTCACCCCCTCGGTATACTTTGAGCTAAATCTGGTCTTACTTCACATTCAATTGGTTTTCATTAGAGTTGCCCAAAACTTCCTAATTCCACCAATGGGCTTTCCTTAGACAACATAAAATCAAAAATGTCGAATTAACCAAAAAAAGGGTAAGAATAACCATAATTTTAAAACCCAGTCCGAACATCAACCCGACAAAAGGACCAGGCCAATGGGTCACTGGTTCAACCTGTTAAACCAAACCCAAACCCAAACCAAGCCTAAAAAAATAAAAAATTATTATTAATAATTATAAATATGCTAAAAAAATCAAAATAAGTATTAAAATAACAAGTTAATCTACTTGTGATACATAGAACAAATAACACAATCTAATGAGTAAAACAAAGATGTATATCATTTATCTCCAATAGAAAATTGAGTGATATCTAGCAAATTACATGAGCTAGTTTCTATGTCCTGAAACTCAAATTGTTGCAGACCAGAAAGGAAAGGAAATATTATATGCCACTAAATATGGCAATTAAATCAAACAAAAATCAAAATATTATCAAACATGTATCTAATGTACCAAATTGAATGCTCAATATTCATCAACTACACCAAATTGAATGCTCAAGATTCATCAACCACACAGTACCAATCATAATAGACTGACAGAAAATAAGCTAAAATTTTCCAAGTTTTTCACTGAACTAAGTTAATAATCATAAAATAATTAACCAAAAAATGGCAATCGAAGCTACAATCACCACCATCTGAGTGCAAAGAGACTGAGAAAGAGAAAGAGAGAGATGAGTGATGAAGTACCTGTCAAGTGAAGGAGAAGATATTGCCTTCGTTCGACACTTCGATTGCGAGAGAGAGAGTTGATTTGTTGAGCTGCTCCATTCGAGTTCGACGAGGAGAGAGCTTGATTCATTGAGTTCGACTGAGAAAGAGAGAGGGGGGACTGATTCATTCGACGGTGAGAAAGAGAGTCTCTAAGCTAAGAGAGAGGCAGCAGCTAATTAGGTTAGGGCAAAAATGCCTAGCTTTTATAATCTTTAAATTGACCCGCCTAGTTTGTGATTAACCATTCGGTTTAGTGGGTTTGGGCAAGAACCAGCCGGTTCAATGGGTTTTGTGCTGAAACGATACACTACCCGGTCCGGTTTGATGACCGATTCACCGGGTCAACCCGCTGGGCCAGGCCGAGTTTTAAAACAATGATTGCAACAAAGGTGTCTATATGCATATGTCTTTATTACTAGTTTAACAGCAAACTCCAAGAAATATATATCAATTCCAAGCCTGCACCTTGACAAGATGTAATAATAATTACATTGACATATAACCGTTCGGCACTCTAGCATGGTACTGCATTCTAAATATTGAAATGACCAAAAAAAACCAGGTACTCTGAGGCGATGTTAGTCTTATTTTGGAAATTAAATCATATGTAAACAGTTACCTAAACCAACTAGGAAGCTCAAACTACGACACAGTTGAATGTAATTGTCTCTAATTTTTTTGGAGTTAGATCAACAAGAGTTGCAGAAGCATCCCACAAGAATAACACTACAGACAAACAAGTCTTAAATGCTGAACGTCAAACTACAGGATGAAAGAATGTAGAACTACCTCAAGGGCAGTTCTCGATACAACCAAGATCACCACTTTCAACTAAAGATAGAGAAACTCACTTTTAAAGGCAATAATCATACTTGAAACAACTGGTTTTTGTAGCAAAGGGTCCAATCAGATTCCCTGGAAGCAACTAGACAACCTCCATCAGTGCATATGGATTCTGCACTAGAACTGGGTCTATGAGGAGTTGACTTTGTTTCACTGTTCCTGAAAATGCTGGGTTCCTGATTCAGGAATTCGGGAGACCCAAGTCCATTACTTGAGAACGAATTGTTTCCTAAATTAACATGGGACTCACAACTTGGAAGCAATTTTAACCGGTCATTATTGCATCCATCAGCGTCATTCTCTTCATCTGACAAGCATCTACAGCAATCTAACTCATCCATCTCAAAAATCCGACTTACTAATCCTTCCCTCCATGATATCCTCATTGGAGATTGCAACCCAGTTTCTAAAGTAGAATTAGACATCCAAGAAGCACGATTATCCACAGACCTCTGCAGTTGATTGAAGTTAATGGAATTGGAAGTTGAGGTCAAGTCAGTGAGCTGGAAACTTAAACCAGGTGGATCCCATATTGATATTTGGCTCCTAGGAGATACACTTTCCCTCAGAAGCATGTCTGCTGCTGAATCTAGTTCATATTCAAAATGGCATCCTGGATACCCATCTGCATTTGACAAAGGCACACAGACCAGTCTATCCAAGCTTGAATCTGATGTTGGGGTCTGAATAACATTATCGCTATTTAAAGAGTCCATGGAGAACGGAGAATTTTCTCCGGCCACATTACCCTCAAATTTGCCCTCTTCTTGTGAAATAACATTCTTACACCTGGGTGTAGCTGGAGGATAAACTAATGAAGAACTCCTAGCAACTTTATCAAATGAAGGCCCCATAAACCCTTGAAATTCGGGGAGTGTTCCTGGAGAAGACGAACTACTCCAAGTTTTCTTACTGCTTGTACTATTATCCAGATCACTGCTACCACTGTAGTTAGTACTGTCACATAAGTCCGAATCCAACTCATGACAGTAGGATGGTGAAATAGGCAAATCAAGTGTAGAGTTGACCAGTTGTCTATATCTATTCATCCCGTTTTCCAAATCACCTTTCTGATCTTCATTATCTTCATCACATGGAGATAAGAGCCAGCACACTGAAGCTTCAACTGGCAACGGAACCAAAGAAACCCTAGACTTGTTAGCAACTCCTACAATATTTCCATCATCATAATCCCCATAGCTC